TGTATATCTGTATATCTGTATATCTAGCTCTAGATCTATATCTATATCTATATCTATATCTATATCTATATCTATATCTATATGCATCTATATCTATCTATCTATATATATATATACATATATATATATACATATATATATACCTATCTATCCATCCATCCATCCATCCATCCATCTATCTATCTATCTGTTAAAAACATGACATTCTGGCACGACCCGGGGGTCACAGGTCATCCTACGATATCCTACGTCTGGAAACAAGTCTTATAAGTCTTGTCTATGGCACGCGCATGCGTCCTGCAGGGGAGGCTCCTTGCCATGGTCCTGCCCTTCCAGCTCGGCCAGATTCGTTGCCACTGTTCGGAGCTCCTCTTGTTGGCTTTGTCTCGAGCTTGGCTCCTGCTCCAACACCTGAGTTTTGCACATTCTCTCCTCCTGGCTGTCTAAATCTTCCACCTTCTCTCGCTTCATATCTAGCTCCTCCTGGTTGCAATGCTCCTCTTGCGCACACGGTCCTGCCAGTCCTGCTGCATCTTCGGGCAAGTGCTCGCGTGATTGCTGCAAGGCCTCCTCATTTGTTTGCATCGCTTGTTGCTGCGGAACCTCCTCGCTATTTCTGCCGTCTTGGTGTTCCTGGTCCTCCGCGACCTGCTTTAGGTGCTCATTTCGGCTCACCTCGTCACACTCGCTAGGTAGAAAGTCTTGTTGCTGCGATTGACTCTGTTGTTCGGCTTCTTTCCGCCGTAGCTCTTCCTGTTGCATTGCTGCCGCTCGTTTCTCCTTCTCCTCTTCTTGACGTCGGATGGATTCCAGACGCTTCTCCAGCAACTCCTCTCTGCGCAGCTTCTCTTCTGCTTCACGCTGCAATCGCTGCAGCTCTGCAAGCCGCTGCCGCTCGGCCTCCTGCCGAAGTGCCTCCTGGCGCCGCTCCTCCAAAGCTGCAAGTCGACGCATTTCCTGACAAAGGTCGTGCCATCTGCTGACGCCCGTCGAAAAGCATCTGATGCATGCAGTTACAGTAACACCTGGCCGGAAACTTCGCCCCACAAACACAACCTCGCAAGAATCTTTACCAGGCCTCCTGCTGGAGCCGTTGTGTTTCCAAGCGCTCTTGCTCGGCAAGCAGCTGCTGCCGTTGACTTTGTATTTGCACTTGGGCCTCCTGCGACCAGTCCACTGATGCAAGCAAGCACATCATGTTGAAGCATGACCTGAACATGGTGCTGCGGAGACTGTGCTGTCACACAGGTCCTTACTTTCAAGCGTTTTTTGTGAGATGTTCCTTAGCTTCTTGACTCGACATGCTTCCGCATGCCCTCTGCCTTGCACACAGACAAACGACAAACCGTCAAAGAACCTGTGTGCGTCAACACAATGCTGCCGAAAGTTTCTTCAACTCAACTTCTGCGCGAGTCTTGCTCGCATCGGCTTCCTTGAGTTCGTGGACTACCTGTCAATCCCAAAGGTTGCTGGCTGGGGTTGTCGCATGTTTGACAGGCTGGAACACGAAGGAATCCTCAATATCTCACCTCGTCCAACTTGCCAGTCGTGTCTTTCAATTCCTTACGACCACTTCAAAGGCAGCTGAACATGATGTCATATGAGTACTGAGACTGTGGTGGTGCTTTGCAGGCACTGGTGCGGATCCCTTTGCTTCTGACAAACACATGCCAGCGACCACTCAACAATGCAGCAGAGCAAAGGTCGACCCTCGGTCGGTGCCTACGTGAATGTGTTGTTGGGCCTGACGCAAGTTGGCCACGCTCTTCTTGTTCTCTTCGAGCTCTTCCTGGACGTCGGTGGCAAGGGTGCTACCGGCACAGCCACACCCTGACCGAAGCCAACAATCTCTGGCCTGCCAGAGATGATCCTGAGTTAAGTTAAACACATGACCGGTATGATGAGGCATTCCCAGCATTCCGCTGCGGTTCGAAAAGTCGAGTATTAACCAACTATTGAAAAAATAAGCATACACAGCATTACACAGCCAGCAAATGCAGCGTCACATGAGACACACATACAGGATTCACATCATAGAAAGCTGCTCTGCGACGTTGTCCACGTGCTGCTAGGCTGCGTTTCGCTGCAGTGACAGCAGGTGACATCGAAGTTCGGCGGCCAACATGTTGGCATCCTGTCGATCATCAAAGCGCGACGCGTCCAAACCTTACACATCATACACTTCATACACTAAGAGACTGCTTTTGACCTTGTCACAGTCGACACCTATCTCTTTGCACTCTGGTGATGCTTATGCACTTCCCTGTCCACGTTCCCGGAATCTTCTGGCCGGATCAGGCCTTGGTGTGGCCTGCTTGGAGAACGCCAACCAGCACGTCCAGAGCTTCATCAACCTTCCCGCACGACAAGGCAGCAAATCTGCCACGTCTGCACCATCGGTGTCTTAGGAGCCCAATTTGCAGCATCTCCGGGCACCTGTTGCCAGTGATCGGCGCTCAATGGAACTGGGCGTTCGCGGCTTCCTTGTGCACCTTCCAGCCATGTTTTCAACCGGCAGTTCCATGAACATCCGTGTATGATGGATCGACAACCGTGACCGAAGATTGAAAAACGTGCCTGCACTTGCAACCCTCACATCCGATGCAAGCAAAGCCATGGTGCGGCCTGTGTGACTTATGCGTCTTGTTACATGTGTTGCTCTGATGTGCCGCCCCTTGCATGTTGACAAATGACGCGGTGCCCTGTGCGGTGTGTGAACTACCTGATGGCTTGGCTGCAAGCATGCAATCACGAGGGCTACAAGGGCAAGGCAGCTACCGCCTGCTGTGGGATTGCTGTGGGACGTGAATTGGACAAGATGTTGGAAGCTTTCATGCATCAGGGATAGCCTTAGACGGTTTCAAGTTCGCCGCAGGCTTCTTTAGGTTTATTTTCCGATCCGTTGCTGACAAGCACTATTCTTGGGTTTCTACGACGGCAAACACGTGCATCAAAGTGTTTTTTTTCATATGCTTTGCTGCCAAGATAATCAACACAATCGGTCAGTGGACGAACGACTTCGAAAGCAGTACACGCGGCCAAGCGCCAGATTGCTACGTTCAGCTCATTCCTACCACAGGCAAGAACGCGGCGGGCATCGGCCAAAAGCTCAGGCAAAGATGGAGGCAGGCCAGCAGCAAAGGGCAGAGAGCTCCACATGCATGGGGAATTCGAGGAAAGTGCCCGCGAGCATCGCGCCGCGACCGAGATCAGGCGCACCCATGCGGCCTGGGCAGAAGCACACACCACGACAGGCACTTTGGAGGCATGAGCTCGGGCAAGCCAGCGGCCCCGAATCCAGCCCAGCCCGAAAACGACGAGGCGACATCGACGGCTGCGGACGAGGTTTTGTTGCTTCGAGATCGGCCATAGTGCTGGGTCCATGCCATGCGAGGATTCGCGACGCCGATAGTTCAGGGCCAGCTCCTTCCTGGCGCGCACCAAGGCTTGCCAGGCAGCAGCTCCCCGTCCGTTGCACTGCCTCCATGCCCGAGCTTAGAGCGCGTCCTGCCGCCGTAAACCGCAGTTGGCACTGGGAACCTTCTTGGACTGGTAGGTGCGACGAGGTGTACCAAAACGGAAAATTCCTGCCGGGTGGTTCTCATGAGTGAGCTCGGGTGCCCGATCGCTTATCAAAGGCGCCGGGAGCCGGTGGGGTGGTGTGCCCGCATTGATGCCCGGTACAGAGCTGAAAATGACATGTTGGTTCTGGCGGAGCCCGAGCACTCCTGTCGGCAGGCTGCCGCGGTACGCAAAAAGCAGGAGCTGGATTTTTCTCGCGCCTGTATCCGCCTGCCAGGAGTGCCTCAGCTCCGGACTCCGAAGTCCTGCACGGAGCAAGGACTAGCTACCAAGCCAGCGCGCCGCCCTGAAACGGGGCGTGGTTCAACCGGCGGGGGTGACGGCTCGACTAGCACGGGGTCGCGGGCACTGGCTCGGGCCAGCAGGTCACCTCGAGGCCTAAAGGTGGCTCCGTGCCGTCGCATTCGTCCGCTCCCGCCAAGGGCAACTCAGGAGCTGGAATTGTCCATGTTGGATTTGGATGTGCCGGAAGCACTCCTCGCCTTCGGAGGAGCGCCAGAGCCCGATGCGCACAGGCAGCGCACAGGTATCGCCCCGCAGCATCCCCTTTGGCTCACGGAAGTTTCGTCGGCCTGTCGCACTTGGGCGAAACTGCTGAGAACGGGGGCAAGGCACTGTGTTACGACGCGACATTGGTCTCTAACGTGTCACGACGGGCAGCTTCAAGGGCGCTTTCAGACGTGGCTGTGCTGGCCACGCCTACGACGTGCTCGGAGTTGCTCCGGCTCCGCATCCAAATTGCCTTTTGGCCGCTTGTCATTTTTTTTTGTCGGACCTTTTCTCTCTGCCGTAGTCCTGTCGCAGTTTGCTCCACCACACGGTCCCGTGTTAGGGCCGGTCGGTCAGCGCAGCGGAAGCCGGCTGACGGGGTTCGCAGGCGCGAGTGCCAACACCTCTCGTCCAGGCCTGGCACCCAACTCTGCGCCGGCCCAGGCACAGCACGTGCTCGGCCCAGTGCCGTGTGGCCGATCGCCCGCTGCACTGCCGTGGAGCGCACGCTCCGCCAGCGTCGCGCCCTGGCTGCGCAGGCTGGGCCGCGCATGGCCGGTGAGGCCCGGCAGGAGCGCAGCGCGACCAGGCGCCGCACAAGCGACATGGCTGAGGCGTTCCAGCGCCGCCAATTTCACACCCGAAATTCATGCTGTTGACTCCCGGTGCTTTGCGGCTAACATGAAGTGGAAGCTCACAGTTGAGTAGATCTGGTAATGCTTGCTCTAGGGGGGTTTAGTTAGCGGGGGGAGCCCCCCTGATTACATTTGTGACTGCTGTTGCGTAGCCGGCACCCCCCCCCCCGCATTACATTTAAGGTTTCTTCCGTATCGGCTCCTGATTCGGTCAGCACCGGGCAACCCCCCCTCCCAAATTACATTTCGAACCCCCCCTCGACTTACATTTTTGTTGGGTGCTGAATGGGTGCTGTATCCCATGTAGTCGGAGGGTTAGGGCTGGACCAGGGCATGGATTCAAGGCGCATAGATGCTCATCAATGCGGCGCAATCAAAGGGCTCTCAACTGTTTCTTTGGCTACGGACACAGTGCCGACCCTGCAATTGGACAGCTACAAGAATCTAGGCTAGCAGGGTCTACAGTGCGGGATAGTGGCAGTGGCTGCGTGATCCCCGGGCTCGGGGAGAGCCCCATCTCCTGTCTCGGCCAGCCCAAACCCAATCAACGCGACGTCCAGCACAAGCTGAACCCCTGCAACGTCCAGCCCTGCAAACCGGAGGCGGGATCGATAAATGGCGTCACGCCTGTGATAAGAACATAAGCCCCACAAACCCGAAATGTAGATTTGGGGGGGGGGGGGTCTGGAAACAAAGGCACAGGTTACCACGTGCAAGCATGCACCGGATGAAAACGTAACCCGGGGGGGGGGGGGCAACCCTCTGACGTATCCGGGCCGCCCTCTACGTGTCAGCGAACCCCCCCGAGTTACATTAGCAAGGGGCCCCCTAGTGCTTGCTGATGGCATACCTCTCTGCGGAACAAGATGGTGGGTGTGTGTGTGTGTGTGTCTGTCTCTATCTGTCTGCAAGCGTGGGCAGCAAGTTGCAGCCCGTGAACATCCTGGAACCGCCAATGGTCGCCTAGTTCAAAGCCGGAGTCACTGAGGTGCTGCCGCAACAGGACCGCGGAGGCGCGGGCCTGGACGGGGAGGGTGTCGCATGGTGTCGCACGAAGACGCCGAGCGGCGGTCGGAGCCGGTGCAGCGCAGGCCACCGAATTTTTGCGGGAATTGGGCTGCCCGGACAGGGGGTGCTTTAGGCTCCAGCAAGTCGGCGAAGGTCATTGTCTGCTGCGTAGTCGGCTGTCAGGTGCGGGGGCAGTATGCCCACGTGAAGTGGGACGAGCACTTTGGACAGCACGACACCGCCTGTTACTGCTACTGCTGCTACTACTGCGACGATGACATGGAGGACGTCGCCGAGTACTACGACGACGACCCCTCCGATCCAGATACCGAGCAAGCATGAGCCAGCCGCGGAAAAAGGTGAACGATGTGTACATGAATTACGCCAAGGGCACGCGGCGGATGGAAGACATTGCGCTTGCTCGCGGCTTGTTCCCTGCGATGGCTGATCTTCTTTCAGCTAGGCGGCTTCCACAATGGCAAAAAGGCAGGAAAAAGGTGACTTCAGGCGCTTGGCCCTTCGGACGCCAGCATCGCTCCACAGGAAGCGGATCCACCACAACCATTCACAGCCCAAGGTTCAAGAAATACTGTCTTCAAGATGCAGGCAAGAAGTCCGCGGAGGACTTCAACATGTTGGAGACCGTTTCTGACAGCAACGGCGCGGAAGTCAACGAGGAGGCTTGCCCGGTATGCCAGGTGACAGTGCGGCCCGGTTTCGCTATCATGGACTGCGGCGCCACGATGAGCGTGATCGGCGAGCTCAGGCCCCTGACCAACGCGACAGGCAGACGAAGGCAAAGAGATAGCCCTTGACGTCGACCTCTTCGGCAAAAATGTGGAAGTTTCAGCATCGTTGGTTCCTGGAAGCACGACTCTGCTTCTGGCACGCCCAGTGCTAGGGGAGTGGAAGGTTAACAGCAGCTCAATACTTAAACTGTAGGGGGGCAGCGCGACTCCAGATACTGCAGATTCTGGTGCCGGATAGCGCGGGGTATGTGCGAGTATACGCAAGTATAAACGGATGTGCGCGAGTATGCCTGGGTGTGAGCGGGTATATATGCGCGAATACACGCGGGCATGCGCGAATGTGCACGGGAATGTGCGAGTATGCGCACGTTTTCGCTTGTATAGTTAGAAGAAGCGAGTGTGCGCGGGTATGCACGAATGTTATAGCAAATATATGGCGTATAGCATATGAGCAATTGTATACGGCTGTCATACATTAATTATGACATTAAAGAGCTGCTCCGGGCTATTTGGGCATATCGGGGCATGCTGGAAACTCCAGCGTACTCGACGAGCATTCTCGAGCATACTCGAGCGCACTCGAGCATACTCGACCGTACCCGAGCGTACTCGAGCATACTCGCGCGTATGCGCGGGTACTCGGGGTGCCGTGGCCCTTGCGT